GGCTGAGACCCTTCCCGCACACCGGACGCGGTGGGGCCGGGTTCCCCGCTGCAGGGCCCCTGGCGCCCAGAGGAAAAGTGAGGTGGGCAGACGTCGAGGTGGCATGGGTGGGGGCCCGGCAGGGCCTGTGTGGGACTCCAGGGTGGGAGGTATCTCTCGGCTGGACCTGACCTGAAGGACCTGGAGGTCCCAAATTCTCCATGGCTATGAGTCCTCCTTTCCTGTGACGTGCAGGAGGGCAGCTTCTGCCGGAGACCCCAGACCCAGGAGGCCCGTTTCCTAACCCAACTGCTCACAGTCCCCGAAGGGTGATGTGCGGTTCTGGAGCTGACTCTCATCCACGCCAGGTCCAGCCCCAGGTGGACAGCAGCCCCTGCCCCTGCACCCCAGCCTAGGGCCCCCTGTTTCTGTGGGGACCCTCCCAACCCCCCAGGACCCTGTCCCCTCCCTGTGGCTGTCCCGCCCCTCCCCCAAGGCCACTGGCTGGCCAGAGGACACAGGAGGAGGCAGGAGGTGGCCACCCACACAGTGTGCAATGGACCTGCCCTCTACCATGGAAAACAGAGAGCTTTAATTGAGTGCCAACTGTATGCAGAGCACACTGAGGGTTGGAGGCCCCAGAGCAAACAGTGGGCTCTCTGAAGGGCCAGGGAGGACTTGTGGTGCCAGATCCTCCAGAAACATTCACCCTGTGCCTGGGGGTGCCTGGGTGGAGCTCCTCCCCCCTCCCCTTCCCATCTTACCCCAGCTGTTTGGTGCCCCCCCACCCCAGGGGCCTGGTTGAGCTACTGGCAGGGGCTTGGAGGGGCACTGGGAGCAGGTGTGGACAGTGACCCCCAGCCCATACAGGGGCCTGGAGGATATGATTTCTCCACTGTTCTGATCTGTGGCTACAGAGGTGGCTTCCAGCAGAGGGAGCCTCACGAGGGCCCCCAGTCCCGGCATCTCAGGCCCCCTCCTGCCCACCTCTGCCGGGCAGGGCCAGGAGGGGCTGCTGGATACCAAGGACACGCCCAGCTGTTAAGGAGTTGCCTGGTGACCCCCACCTGGTGGCTCTGGGCCCCCACCCAGCTCTAGACCTGAGGACAATTGGTCCCCCTGGTGGCCGCCTGGGACCTGGTGGAAGGGAGTAGTTGGCTGGGTGTGGCCAGTGCTCGCCGGCCCTTGGGAAGGTTGCAGGGACAAAGTCAGCCCTCCCAGCTGACCAGCAGAGGCCCTGCCACATGGGGTGGGCGCCTCCTGGGGCCATGTGTCCCGGCCTGTCAGTGCTGACCGGGCCCTCGAGTGAGGTCCTGGGCTCCTGACCCCCAGCCCCCATGTGTAACCCCGTCCTAGCCCTGCCCTGAATTTCACCCCAAGTCCCTGCTCAGAACCCTTGGCTCTAACACCTTAGCCCTTGGACGCAGCCCTGGGCCCCACACCCTAACCCTAATCCCCACTCTAACCTCCCTCCCTGAAGCCCCCTGACCCCTCTGGGCTGACCCCCTGGTTCTGACCCTCGCCCCGTCTGCTCCATCCCTCCATTCCTGCACCTGAGCTGATTTAATACACGAGAGGCTCAGGGGAGGAAGGTGGGTCCCCACTGAGGCTGCACCCAGGTATGTGACCAAGGGTACCGTATCTGGGGTGTCCACTCGGCCCACCGCCCTGGGCCAGAGGGCAGGCTGGACTGGGGGCAGGCCCACCGTCCTGTCCCCTGTGACTCTGCCCCAATTCTGTGAGCTGGTGAGGGAACAGCTGCTTATTTCCTTCCGTTCCTGGGGGGCGGGAGAAGCAGGTGCACTCCTGGCCCCCGGGATCTGGGCTGGCTCTGGGCAGATGCCCGGAGGAGGAAGGGCGGCGGTGCTGGACCTGTGCCCCAACAGGACCTGGCCATAAAGTGAGGCAGGGGCGGGGCTGCGGTGTGGACAGCTGACTTTCCTCCCCGCCTGGCCCCCAGCTGTCAGCCCTTCCCAGGAACCGGCACCCTTGTTTGTTCCTTGAGAGAGTGAAAGAGTGGGTGGCATTGCCTGCCTGAGCCCTGGTAGGGGCCTCTGAGAGCCTGGGGAGGGGTGGGCAAGGGGCCGGGGCTCCACTGGGGACCCTAAGGCTGCAGGCACAGCGCCCACCCCTCCCGCAGTGGGCACAGGCCTGCAGAGGCTGCCGGCGTCCAGGCAGGGGGACTGCAGCCCAGAAAAGGCGGGGCCTGTATGACCCCACGGGGCCACCAGCCAGCCCGAGCTGGGCCCTGGGGCCGGGGCTTACCTCTTCCCCAGCCTAGCCTCGTCTTGGATGGAGAAATACGGTAGTCCACTGAGGCGGAAGTAGCCAT